GCGCTGCTTTACTGCGTTATATTCGAATTTGTGTTATATCAGGTTGTGTTATATCAGGATAGAGATGTATTACCTTTTTTTTTCTGATGCCAATACAAGTTTTTATTCATTTATTTTATAGAATTCCTACCCACCCCTTTTTCCACTCTAAATTTATAATTATCTCCGTTTCATTCTCCATTCCAATTTTGTTGCCATTCCATATTTCCCTTTCCCTTTTTTAATTAATGTGTCCTATTCCCCAGCCCCCAAAATACTTTTCCATCCTTCTCTGCGAATTCACCACAGCCCATTTCTTTTTGGTACTATTTTATAGTTCCCTATTTTATTTTTCCAGGCACTTGCATGTATTATCGGCCACATTTCTTGTACCTTTCCATTAGCTACACCAGAAAGGACAAGGGTGCACTGGTGTATGGTACATGTATGCACTTGCCCCTTCCATGTTTCTTGGCGTGATTGATTAATATAGGAATAATAACTCAATGCCCAATCATGTGTTCTCGGCTCATTACCTCTCTGACTTTGTTTCAAAATGTCTTTTTACTGTTTTTCCAAGGTTTCCTGAGCTTTCATACACACCTCTCCCCAGGACAATTCTGTGCGAATGTTTTTTATTTCTTTAACAATTTTCAAATTACCTTTTTCCAATAGTGTACTCAATTCCATCACAGAATGTCTCATTTCTTGATCCTTTATTTTCCCTTGCTCCCCAATATGTGCTGATTGTGACAATTGTTCCAGAGTTTCTCACTCTTTGTCTTAGAGTGGAGAGACTCTGTGTCAATTTGTCACCCCTGAAATGCACAAACACCTTTTGTTACTTGGGTCATATTTCCATTTAACTATTAAAGTTTGTTTCTTTGAGGATCCTTGCCCTCCTTTTTGCCAGCATTTTAGAGAGGAATTAATGCTACTGGAGCAAGCACTATTGAGGAAACAACCTTAATGTGACTTTCATACAGCAATTTTGCAGGGGATGGCTCAAAGTCCTTTCCCATGGCAAAGTTCACTTTGGCTGGGACTGTGATCAAATCTGTACCATTACCTAATTTAATGCTGGAATTTAGACTCTCTAAAGGCTCTTTCAGAACTTCCCCCTCCCTAGGAGAATTAACCCTGGAGGCTACTTTCATGTTCCAGGATTTCGCTTCTACTTTCCTTTTATTTCTTCGGTCTTCGGTCTTTTAAGGGTTTAAACAGAGTAATTGAGCACTCCCATTGGTAGGTTCATTTTCCTAGAATGATATGTCACATCTGGTTCAATAACTACCAGTTTACATTTTTCAAAACTTTTCAATTAAACTGAAGACCATTTTTGCAGTGAGCTTTTCCTGGCCAGTGGAGGGTCCAGCGGTTGGAACCCCATCCCACAACACAGTAACATTCAATACCCAAACACTTTTTTGTTCCCTTGATTACTTTTCCCCTAGAGGTGATTAGCGTACTTTACTTAACCCCTTTCCCCACAATCTTATCCAACAGATATCAGTGCCTCCAACCCACAAGGTAAGGTTGGTTTGTGCCCCTAATAAGGGTGCCCATTGTATTAAAATCCGAGTAACTTCACAATCTGCTGACTCATCCACTGGATGGGGTCCTGCGGCACAGACAGGTCCCACAACCAGTGGTCTGGAAACCACATAACAAGTGAGCCCACAAGCAGCAAAATGAAGCAGATTTCACAGCATACTTCTTCTTGCTTACATAAATTCATAGATTAATCTGCAAAACCATAAGCAAACAAAAACACACGACTTCTAACGGGGCTTTATAGGTTAGTACACACTGCACAATTTATTAGCCACCTGGAAGGCCACCCACATCTATCTGAGCCAATTATTGGGACATCAAGCTGTAAGGGCCCATCGGCAGGTTTTCTGTACCTGTTTCCATGGCCTTCACAATTTTAGCTCCTGGTTGCAGCATCAACTGTGATTTAGTTCTTGCCATTAAATTTCCTAAAGC